AATTCAGATTTATAGAGCTGCTCAAATACTAACTTTAAATATTCTAAATGTTTATCAAAATTTTTAGAATAAACATTAATATCGTCTAAATAAATTACAATACATTTTCCTATTAAGTCCTGGAATATATAATCTATAAGCTATTGAAAGATAGCTGAGGTATTTGCTAGTCCAAATGGCATAATGTTAAACTCAAAATTTCTAAATGGCGTAGTAAATACAGTTTTTTCTTTATCAGATTTTCGGACTTCTATTTGCTAATACCTACTAGTAAGATCTAGTGATAAATACTAGAAAAAACTATTTAAAGCATTGAGTAGGTCATCAATATGAGGCAAGGGATAATTATCCTTTTTTGTAACTATATTTAATTTATGATAATTAACACAGAACCAAGTTTTTTTTGAACTAAGACTATAGGTGATATTCAGAGGCTTTCAGAAACTTAAATAATACTATCCTACAACATTTGAGCTAGTTTCTTTTTATAATTTCTTTTTCTCTAGAGGAGGATCTGTAATATTTTTGCTTAATAGGCAATAATCTTCAGTATTGCTAATATGTTAGACAAGGCTAGTTCAGCCAAGTATATAACTTTCCTATGTGAAAAGTAATAAATTGTCATCAAGAAGTTTTTGGATTTGTTCATATTTACTCTTATTAAGCTTGCTAATTTGGATATAATCTGTTAGTTCTTTCTTTTCTTTATAATAATAATCAAAAAGATCACTAATAGATTTGTACTCTTTTTCTTTTATGGAATTTATAGAGATATAACCATGAGGGTCTCTTTTGGCTTTATCTTCTTGTAGATACGTATTTCTAGCAATATCATAATTATATTTAATAGTAGTAGATTTCTTTTTTCTTTTCTCTAATATTGTTTTTCTCTTAATTTCATCCAAGTTATCGTCAGTATCAGAATTAAGGTTATCAGACTGCGAGCTAACCTTTCTTTGAATTTTAGAGAATATATACCATTCATCCTTACTAGATTCACTAAAGAGAATTAGAGGTAGATTGTTGTCTAAATTATTAAGAGTTACAGAATCTAGAGAAATAGAGAGGGTTATCATGTTAGTAGAAATAATGTTTAAGGTAGGTTGAGTTTTATTTGAATTATAGAGAATAGGGTTTTCAATATCCTCTATTTCTGAATAACTATAAATTCTTTCTTTTAATTCTTCTTCCTTGAATTCGTCTTCACTTTTGGTATCTTTAAGTTCCTTGTCCATATCTTTGTTAGGATCATGAATCTTTGTGGGGCAATTATTTTCAAGGGAATCTGGAGTTAGCCTTTTGAACTCAACTGGTACAGTGAACTCCTTTCTATTCCAAGTAAAGGTTATTTCTGCTGCAGTCTAATCTATTTTTACTTGAACTTTAGAGAGCCAGTTGTTACCTACTATAGTATTATATGAAGTGGTATCTATAACTACAACATCAATTAGAATTTTGGTACTCTCTACATTAAATAGTAAATTAAAGATTTCGTCTAATGCCCTTTTACTTTCTCTATGAATATTAACTATGTTAATAATAGAAAAGTATTCTACTTTTATTCTGAGGTCTCGTAGCAAATAAGATGAGACAATACTTCTAGATGATTCACTGTCAACAATTAATAGGATCATTTCTTCTAAGATTTTTGTATCGTAATAAAAGGCAGTAGACTTTATTTTCAGATAAATACTAATATTCATTTTTATCTTTTTTTTTGCAGAAATTTTCTTTTTTTGTAGGCTTCTAATTAGATTAAAATGCATCAAAAGGACCACACAGATTAATTGACTAATAGAGATATTAGCTAGTTTATCCCTGAGATCTGTAATTATTGAATAGGAATTTACTAGTGAAGCAATTTGGAGCAATTTGTCTTTAGTGACTTTTCTTCTAGTTATAGAAATACATCTTGGTTTTAGAGGGTTCTTTGAGTTTCTTTTTAAGTTTCCTTCTTTTGAAGTGTTTTCTTTCTCTTTATTTTCATCTTCTTTTTTTCTTTCTAATAAATCTTCTAACATTTCTTTTTCTGCTATTTCTAGGTCGTAACTTTCTCACTGATGTTTTAAGTTGTAAAGATTATTAAAGAAAGGAATATTTTCCTCCAGAATACTAATGAAGATTAGCTGATTTTTCTAGTTAGGTAGAAGAGTTAGACTGGTAGCTAAGGCTAATAAAGTTTGAAAAATTTCTTGTTGCTTATTTTCTAGTACTTTATTTCTAATTGAATTATCTATATAATTAAGACTTGGCTATGAATAGAGTTAGTAGAGGCTTGATTTTGAAACAATTGGTTTTGAGGAAGTTGGTTTGAAGAGTAGTTTAGAGAAGTGTTTAGGGGAGCCTGGCTATAACAATTTCAGCTAATATGTTCAGATTTCTCATATTTAAAACAAACTACTCTAGATATGTTTCCTATAGAAGGGAGCTATCACTTATCTTGTATTTGAATTAATATTTTATTAACAGTCTCTGTTAATTTTTCAATTGCAGTATCCGTACTAGAACCTAAGGACAGAGAATTTGGTATTATATTTTGGGTGAATTGAAGTAAATATAAAGCATTTATCACTGTAGGTAAATAGAGAAAATTTTGTTTGCAGGCACTTTCATAGGCTTTAGCATATTCATAGGCTACTTGTAAAGTATTTGGAGTAGACGATGCAATAGCAAGGAGAAGTTCAGACCTTAGTCTATTAATAAAAATTTAGGCTTTGAATATATTTAGATACTGGTGGCTTCCAGATTCAACTCTTTAGAGAAGTTCTTCAATTGCTGTATAGTAAGTATCAATATTTTTATTCAATTATTGTTTCTTGTTGCTAACTGAACAAACCACTTTTCTTCTAATATAGAGGTGTGAAATTGAGTAATAAAATTAGAACAGAAACTTCAGGTCTGTTGAACAAGGTCATTTCGGACATTAATAGGATTCAGTTGTCTAAGACAAGTAGCCTACTATGTTGCAGCTAAACCTTTGAGATAGGAACAATAATTGCTATTTTTTGATTATTTTCTATGAAGTTAGTAGCAAATACTTTTTCTACTTCATCCAGCCAAGTCATAGGATCTGAATTGCTACCGGAGAAGTCAAAATAAGAAATAAGGTTTAATTCTCTATTTGGTGTATTATAATTTATTTGAGATGCAGGTGCTGCTTGCATTTGTTAGGCTAGAGCTCTAATTTGGGCTGCTAGGTTATTTATCACATTAGGCTGATTGGGTTAATTTTGCGAGTTTAGTCATTGAGCAATAAGATTATTTTATCAAGATGAGGTAGGTTTTCTTTTAAATTTTCCTTTTTGTGAGGTTCAGTTTATTTTTTATTTTTTTTAATCTATAATTTATTCGAATAGGTATCTTGTTTATTCCACACAATTAGCACCAAATGTAACTATTGTATTAGGAGAGCTTTGGGATATAGAGTCAAATTAGGTTTTTATAGTATACCAATTTAGCCTAATAGTTACAGTGAAGAAGAATTTGATAATTCTCATAAATGTGAGTAGATTTAAATAGTTACAAAGTATAGAATATATAGATTTTTCGATTTATGATAAGAGAAACTAATGAAAATGATATTTAATAGATAAATAAAAAGAGAACTCAGGACAATTTAATAGTATCTAGGATGATTTAGTGATTGTAGGAGCCTCAAATGATCTGATTTATAATTAATCACTTGATGTTTAATAATAATAATTTGATCAATATTAATTAAATTTATTGATAATAGAACTTAGTAATCTTCTTTATTAAAACTTAAGCTAGTTATATACATTTTAATTTTATAAAGTATAATCATTATTATTTTAATATTTACACTTATTTCTTAATGACTACACTATATTATTCTATGTATATATTGAATTTTTCATGTTAACGTGCTAAGATTGAAAGTGATGCACTCTATGCAATTTGTATAATCACGTATACATGAATCTTTAGACATGTACGCAATTAATCTATTTCACATATGTTCAAGCCACTAAGCCACTATTGACTTTCTTTCTTGTATAACACATGGATAACCAGATAAAACATATACATATAAAGAAATATAATAAAAACCAGAAAAGTAAACAATAATAATACTAAAATAAAATATAAAAAAAATAAAAATAAAAATAAAAATAAAGATAAAAATATATAATAATAAAATAAAAATATATAATAATAAAATAAAAATGTTCGATAATTAACAGGAGTAAACTAAAAAAATTTTTTTAATTCATTACAATATCTCTTTTAAGAGCTATAGGAGCTAAAAGACATATAAGACTTATACGAATCCTATTGTTGTAAAGTTTATATAAGCAGAGCCTTCTGCCCTCAATAAAAAAATATCGCTCAGTTGATAAATATTTTGTCTTCCTAAATAAATTATCGAAACCTTCTTTGACCCATAAATTCGCTTAACAATTCCAACCTGACCCTTCGCTAATCGTATAAACTTGTACCCATATAACGTTACGCTGCCTGATTTACTCTTCGGAAAAGAGTAAAGTGTCGTTAAGTTATTGAGTAAGAGAGAACTTGCCCGCTAAATTTTGTGTTTGACTATCCTAAGAGAGAGGATAGGTCAGCTTGAATAGATTAAGGGAAGTTAGAAACTCAATAACGTTAAGAAGACCAGCCACGTGACCGGAGTCCGAACGATAACCGAAGCCTTGGAATCCCCTTCGCCAAATATAAACGCCCTCTTTCGATAAGTTATCATAGTACGTCACACGAAGATCCTGAAGATTGAGCGACTGATCGCCGTTTATAAGGACCACACTATAAATAATTATTCTGTGACTTACCTATAACGTGACCGAATTGTTAAAGAACACTAAACACATAATACTTCGTAATTTAAGAAGTATACCGAATTCTATTGTTTCTGATACCTTAAAAGTAATCTTGTATAAGTAAAGTAAACCCCTTGATCCCGATAGTGATTCCATTGTTATTCCTTGTTAAGACCTGGTACAGTTGTGATTGTGATCAGGTGATACTCATTTCGAAGAGTCGTCAGGAAGAAATCCTCTCGGTATTGATAAGGTAGAAGTGAAGGAAGGGTCCACCTTAGCTAGAACGGGTAGAAGAGACATTGCCTTCCATCTGTATCGAATAGCTAGTTGCAGAGATTTGATGACGAAAGTTATCTGATTTAGTAACTAACCAATAATATAAGCGATCTACATAGAATTAAAGAGATAGTTAAGGAAAGCCAAATCACTGCGTCACGCTTCTGACGATACTGCCCTAAATTACACAAACTTAGTTATATAACAGAACCGAACCCAACACCAATAATATTAGGATAGTGATTATTTGTGGAAGGTACTTTTAACAACGGCATTTCAGCTCTCTAAATTACCGTTAATTTTTTCTATCACTTATAATTTATTTTAGCGGAACAGATAGAACAGTATTTAATTTTGACATTACAAATAAAAGTAGATGCATTTAGAGGTGTATTTTTTTTTTTACAGCATCCAAAACAATTACGAAAAAAAAGGTAATATCTTTATCTGATTATCTTTATAGGTCGAGGTTATGATAATAAATTGCCAGATAACTCAAATATGTTTTAACTGGTTTATAAATAATTCTTTTAATTATTATACTTAAATTAATATTAGGTTTATTAAGTGTTTAAATTAAATTATTAGTCTTTATTATATTCTATTATAAATAAACTATGTCTTTATTATATTCTATTATAAATAAACTATTAGTCTTTATTAAAAAGTAACATATTCTATTATAAATAAACAAATTTAAAGCCCCCAAACAGTTAAAGCTTATAAAAATTAAACTTTAAAAATATTCTTATAATGTTAACTTTTAATAACTAAGCTAAAGAAATCATTATTACCTGATGCCCGAACGATATGTATTGGTTAAAAGCAAATTATCAATCCAACACAAAATGGAACAATCAATTTCATTATTTTTAAGATTCAACGAAGTCAGAGTAGTATTTTTGTAAAGAGCATCTCTAAACGCTTTTCCACCTTCAGAACCAAGTTCATTAAGCCAAAGAGCTAATGAAATTAGAGTTTTATTTACACATAGAGCTTTCGCCAATACTTTTCCTCCTTCAGAGCCGAGCATATTATTATTAAGGTTCAAATGTGTCAGGCTATTGTTTTTATAAAGAAGTTTTGCTAAAACCTTTCCTTCTTCAAATCCAATATTATTTTTTCCAAGATTTAAAATTGTTAAAGTGGTATTCTTGTAAAGAGCTTTTGCTAATGTATTTATTACTTCTGAATCAAACATATTATTTTCAAGATTCAAATGAGTTAGAGTAGCATTCTTATAAAGAGCTTCTGCTAACGCCTTTCCTCCTTCAAAACCAAGTTGATTATAGCTAAGATCTAAGGACGTAAGAGTAGTATTTTTATAAAGAGCCCCTGCTAATGCTTTTCCTCCTTCATGACCAAGTTGATTTTTATTAATAATCAAGGATTTTAAAGTGTTATTTTTACAAAGAGCTTCTGCTAACACTTTTCCACCTTCAAATCCAAGATGATTATTACAAAGTTCTAAAGAAATAAGAGTAGTGTTTCTACAAAGAGCTTTTACCAATATCTTTTTATCTTCAGAATTAAGTCGAATATTACCAATACTTAAATTGGAAAGAGCACTATTTTTATCAAGAGCTTCAGCTAATAATTTATACCCATTAAAACTAAGTTCATTATTCCAAATGTTCAAGGAGGTTAAATTAACGCTTTTAAAAAGAGTTTCAACTAATAAATTTATCGAATTATTGTAACAAATATTATTAACTTCTAAATTTGTAAGTTTATTACTAGTTCGTAAAAACATTGCACCTAAAGAAGATTCAATTAATTTAACAACATTCATAGACTCTGGATCTTTTTTAGAATAAAATAAATGAGGCTCGTGTATTTCATAATTAAGAAAATCTATAATTCCATCTACTGAATAAACATTAATTTTAATAATTGTAACATAAGAAGTGTATTCAAATAATAATTTTGTATTATTTGGAAGTATTATTCCAAATGATGTTAATGAAGCTTGCTCTTCGATGTTTAAAGATGAAAGACATGTTCGTATAAACTTTTTATTATTAAAAGGAACTGATCCACTCCATAATATCGGTACAGCATTTCTACACCATTGACGGTTTACGAGAAGGCATGAATGTAAACTTTTATGATCATCCTTAAGTTTAATCAGTATATCTGAAAGGCATTCATTTGGTAATGTTATCATTTTGAAGGGTACTTCGAAGTCTCTTGTGTAAAAAAATTCAGTTAAGTTATATATATCTATTTTTAGAGTGGGCAAACTTAGCTAGCTATATACATACAGTTCTTACGGTGTACGTACATGTTACATAGCATTAAATTATAGAACGGAATAATGACGTGACAGGTTTCACAGAGTCCCACTACATAGGTCAGGTGTGAAATTTTATTCATTTTAAACAAATACGTACAAACTGAATACATGATGTCACATGGCATTTCTGTTTAGCCGGAATTTATTCAAGTTTGAGTGTACTTTTTTTTTTAAATTATATGTTACACATCTTGTCATGAAATTTTATTTGACCAGATAGCGAATTTTTTTTAGGTAATGATAGAGATGTTGATACCAAGCAGCACAAATTAATGAGAGTATGTAAATTTTTAAACAACTCAGGAATTGTAACTCTATACCTGGTAGGGCACTAATTTGAGATTTTAATTTTACACACAATCATGGTTACGAAAGATTAATTACTATCGCTATGTACAAGTGGGAATGGAATTTCTGCATGCACCCAATAGCGATTGTATTGAATTTGGTAGGTAGTACTACATCTAGATTGACAGAATAAATTTATAAAAATTAGTGATTGTACGTACAAATATCTAAAATTAAAAATGTTGTACGTGTGAATTATTACGTTAAAGAACATAACCTCAGGCTTTCTAAACATTTTCAAAACTGCAGGTTATTTCTTATAGGTCATCATCATTCATTGTGTAACTATTGATCAACAGGTCACATTTACCATTTTTCAAATTTTCTTTCTGTCGTACCAAATGACCCGAGCTAGTGTGACGACATACTGTACGTTGAAAAAGTGAGAATTGGTTCTAGGCTAGAACTCGTCCGGAGGTTTGGTTACACAGGGGTTCGGATCCAACTAATCTATACAGATAAACCGGGATAATCCACAAATCCAACCAAGAAATAACCCTAGCTTGGATAAGGCTTGAAAGAGGCGAGGATTAACTTGATCCGAGGTTAGGGTTACTTGGGTAAGTGTTTGGTTATAAAAGTTGGGTCTATGGATTGTCTTGGTCACGTTTATCGGAAGTTATAGTTTAGTTACGATTGGGTTACAAATTGGGTTTCAATTTGGTTGCGAATTGGGTTACAATTTTGGTTACAATTTGGGTCACGGGATATGAATTTATTGGTAAGTTGATTTAACAATTACGAAATTGATCAATTAATTAATCAATCTAAAGACACTATATAAAACTACTAACAAACTGGTATGAGTTGAGAAAGATATCACGGGGACAAGAATTTAACGATAAACGATTCAAAAGATTTAGGGTAACAATTTATACAATTTAAAAGGGTAATTTAGTTAAAGACAAACACTTCTATACAAGACTTTTCAAGACTCAGAAGGTTTTACTTTTTCGAACTCTGTGAGTTGTCTTTATTCAAGGTAATTTCGTATTGTATATATACATTTTCTTTACATATAATGGACTAACGAGAATTATTGTTATTCTAGCTATTCTAGTTATTCTTATAATTCTTATTTTTCTCGTTATTCAAATTATTCTCGCTATTCGAATTATTCTTGCTATTGCCATTATTCTCGCTATTCGAATTATTCTTATTTTTTTGGGAATTTCGAGAATAGTGTTACTATTGTAAATTGGGAGAACAATTAATAATGTCCGGTTTAGCTCCAATAGTTAACGTGGTACGAGTTATAATGTCTAAATACTAATAAATGGATAAGTGATGTCAAATGGGTTCTATAATCTATTATATATAGGTCGGGTATAATATAAAGGTCGGATTGGTGATTTAAGGGATGATCGGAATAATTTGTTAATTTATACTAAGGGGAAATGTTAATCTTAATCGTATAACAATAAACTAATTACTTAAAAGTGATCCAAACATTGATCACTATACTAATAATAAACAATTCGTAATGTTCTATACTAATCTAAATAACTGATTCTATTAACAATCCTACAATATATCGTTACTCACAATATCTAAATCGTACAATAATCTAAACAATAATATTTCACGTGATGTTACTTTCTATAAAACTCGTCAAGAATACGGCTCTTAGTTACTCAGTGAAAGGTCTATTCGGCCTCAATGCTTACTTCCTTTATGTTAATTAAGAGACCCAGCGTATTCTTTATTCAATAATTTAACAAACTTGGTAAGGAATCGATTATTAATTATAACGGGATTAGGGAATTTGACAATTAGGAAAGTTAAAGATATTAATTTAAGGTAAATAGTGGTTTATTTATTTTTAGTTAATCGATAACTGGTCCTTTCAGAAGAGTGAAGAGGACCCATATTTATACAAAATTTATTCTTTGGGAAGACTATACTAATACTATTCTGTTTTTCTTAACACTAAACTTATCCTTCTCGATAGTGAGCAGTTGTGGTTAAGCCTCACATAGTACAAAGCCACACTGCTCACCTCAATGTTTATCATTTTTATGAATTTGTTAAATCTTTTAGGGTTATGGCTTAAACATTCAGCTCGACTGCTCGCCCTAATGTTTACATTAGTCGTTACCATGGTTCTTAAACATAAACAAAGGTATGAGCAGGATGAAAATATAAATAATAACTATTTACAGGAAAGAAGAATAAATAAAATAAAACAAATAAAAGAAAATAACAAAATAATAAAAAAAATAGATACAATTTTAAAAAAATAAATGTGATACAGGACAGGGCTACTAGCTTACAACCTAACATATTCCTCCTTTTAGACATGAGCTCCTGTGAAAGTCTCATAGAGCTCGAGAAGGTCTAATTCTTCTTTATTCTTTATAGCTTTGGCCTCTTCTACTAACTTCTTAAAGTCACTTTCGTATATTTTTAGTAGAACATGAGGTGTGATATGTTGGGCACAAAAGAGGTTTAGGATACCACAGCAGAGATATAGAGTATAGATGCGTAGGGCCATCTTCTAAATATTTCGATGACTATTTGGGAACTTCTCTTAGACTATATTACAGGCAAGGTCTTTCCAATCTTTATCATTAAGCTTCTCTTCTAGGAGATAAAAGTTTTGTAGGTTGGTTACTAGTCTGATAAAAGTTT